CTTAAGCCCATCATTTCTTTTTTTTTCAGCTCTAGAATTTTCATTTGGCTTTTTTTTTTAATAGCTTTATTTCTCTGCTGAGATTCTCAATTTTTATCTATCTGTATAACATATACATTAAAAGTCAACTCTTTGAACATATTTTCCTTAAATTTTTAAAGCATATTTATAATAGCTGCTTTAGTTAATCTGTTAAATCCAACCTGTGGGCCATTTTGGAGTCCATTTCTGTTGACTGTTGGATAGAGGATATTGTGGATAGTATGTAATAGACTTGAATTCTTTTACCTTCCTCTGAGAAATGTTGATTTAAAAAAAACCTTTTTAATAGGTTGATCATTTACTGGCTTATCACCTTGAACTTGTTAAGCGTGGTTTTATACTTTGTTAGACAAGATCTGTGAAAGAGCTTAAGGTGCTTCCCAAGCCTATCTAACTTGGCAGAACCCAATTCCCATCCTCTGCCTCCTTCATGATCTTGTCAGGGCTTATTTTAGGCTTAGTTAGAGCAGATTTAGAGTTGGCCTTACTCTCAGATGTGGTCCTCACTCCTAGGGCTTGCCTTTTGGCTGTCTCACCTGGATACCCAGGGTGTTAATAAGGTCCTGTGGTTTCACCACTATGACTGGGCCAGAACTCGTAGGAGTGCCATTGCCTCACAGCACTGTTTGACGTCTACTTAATTCTGTTTCATTTTGAACCCTTTAGCGGTTCTCTTGTAGGCATCCATCTTGCCTTACACATGTGAAGCCCAGACCACAGCCAAGGATTTTTGGAGAACTTGTGTAATGGGGCCATTCCTCTTTTTCTTTGGGACCTTGCTCCCAAAATTTCAGCTGCTTAAACTCTAACCTCAGCCTCCTTAGCTCATTGGACTGTGGCACTGTGTCTGCTTGGACTGTTTCCTCTACTCAAGGTACACCTTACCTTTGCTCTGCTCAGGCTTTAGCTCACTGCACCAAAAACAAGAATGTCCCCGGGCAGAGAACTGAGGTAATTATAGGGCTCACCACATGTGTTTTCCTTCTCTCAGGGATCAGTCTTCTTTCTGCCTGTTGTTTAATGCCAGAAAATGTCTTTATATATTTTATCCACTCTTATGATGGTTTATGGCAGGATGGCTACTTTAGTATCAGTTATATTGTTATATCCAGAAGTGTAATTCTGAAGCCTATTCAGTTTAGAGACAGAATGTATTTCTCAAAAGAGAAAATGTTATTTTCTTTTAGACATTTTTCCCTCATTCATCCAGTCAATGATTATTTATTGCCTGTCTCCTGTTTGCGATTGGCACTGGGCATACAAGGGGGATGAGAGATAGTTTCTTTCCTCAAGGAGTATTTTTAGTGGATTATGAGTCCAAATAGCAAGTTTGAGTCTGTTGTTTTTTTTTTTGAATAAACTTTTATTGAAGCATAACATACACTGTTATGGTATGGTTCCCCCCACCCTTTCCAATGTGATAACTTGTTATTTAAGGACAAAGAAGTTAATTCTGCCTTTCCAAAGGAGAGGCTTTGGTAGTAGGTATAAGCTCTAAATACGCTTTAGCAAACCGCTGTTTTAAAATTATTAACCATTACATTTGCTTTATTTTGAAAAGATTAGCACGAGCTATAAAAATGCTGTTTATCTGCTCATGTATTGGTTTCACTCTTTTGCCATTGGGAAATGTTTTTACCAGAGATGCACAAATCAGATATCTTAATGCATTTATGATATTAAAAGTGAAAACAATTTTTGTCTACCTGACTTTCATATTGTATTTAATAATTGAAACAAATTTTTTCGACTTTCATTTCTATAAGGTCAGCCTAACTCATGAAAAAGAAACTTATCTTCATTCTGCTTAATATATCACTGCTGACAACCTGATAATCTTCAACTCAAGGTCTGGCTATAGGATGATACTTGCCAGCAATCACTGATAATGATGTATGAATTAGATATGAAACAGATTTTCTTACTTTTCTATCATGACCTTCATTCACAATTAGATTAACTTTAGATTGATTATAGAAAAATAACAGCTTGAAAAACTGTTATTCTTTCCCTAGTAAAATGCCCTTAAATATTAACTTAGAAATAAGGTAACTCATGTTAAACTTCTACTGCAGTGGTACAGTCTCAACCATGGTGGTTAAATTTCTGAAACCTCCCCAGGGTAAGAGAATTCTTGATTAAAGAACTTCTGACAACCCTTATAGGGGAAATAATCTTTGGTATAAATTCAATATATAAAATTAATAGAATATCAATAGCATGTTATCATTTTCAATAATAATGAGTACACTTATCATTTCTTGTTTTATACTTTTAAGTATTTCACTTTCCCTTATTGTTTCATCTATAGTAGCATTTTTCAAGTGTGCCCTTCATCCAAATGTCCAGTGCCTTTCTAATTTTTGACCAAGAGTTGTTGAGTTCTCACTTCCTGTCTCCTACTGTAGTAGAAGATCATAGAATAACTGTATCCTTGAAATGAAATAAAAAATCTTATTTGTTTTCTAAACCTCCTTTCCTGCTATCAAGCACATGAGTCAGCCCTTATACGTATCTCTGCTCTTTCTTTTCCTATAGATGTTGATATTTCCCTAAACTTACAATTCTAAAAAGTCATTGTATGGGCCGGCTGAGTGGCTCAATTGGTTAAGAGCTTGCTCAAGAGTGTGAGCTCTGAACAACAGAGGTTCGATGCCCGGCCTGAGCTGAGCTGCTGCTGAGCTGCCAACAGGTGGCAGGATGGCTCAGCTAAAAAAAAAAAAAAAAAAATTCATTTAACAGCCTCACATTTATAACATTCACAGTTTACCTTATTTGCTAATGGTGTATGTGTGCACTTATTTATTAAGTACTGTGTATCTCTCTTCTGG